AATCCGGTCGTAGCCACGGCGTATAGTACGACACTGAATGAAACAAATGTAGGTATGTAGTCATTTCAAGGCATATAGTAATACAGTAACCAAACAGTTTGGAAGTTTATATGTGCCTCCAGATTCATTTTTACAATGTATCACTCATCTAGAGACAGAATTTCTTAATCATGTCAACAATTTATGTGCCACTGATTGTGATTTTCCTTTGGATTATTTGTTTTCTATTTTCACAAGGATTGGAATTCATTATACTTTGAAATTTGCCAATAGAAATTTGAAAAAAAAAATCAAAAACTCATCATTCTAAAAAACCTTTAAAATATATTAGCATAAGTTTTAGTTCTGAATTGTATCTCACTATATAAAATATACGTTTATTTCACCACCGTGTCTTATTTTTTATCAACTCCCAAACAGTTCACGAACATATGAGACATTTATTGGGAGCTCCTCGTAGCAATGATGAAGTCAGATCATGGTCACATATTTTTTGATCGAACCTCGTGCAAAGGTGCACAACTGCTCTCAGCCGACACCCTCCTGCCCCGCCACATGCCAGCAAAAAATAAAATCTCGACCCGAAACATCAAAGACACCGACGGGAGTGAATTTACTTCTGTTTACTTTTGTACGGTGCTATGGCCAACACGAGGAATACGGAGTGAGAGGCGACCGCGGTAGCTGATTCCTCGACTTGATAGTTTTGATTATGTCAACATGTATTATATTTGATGATGATGTATTATAATAAGACAGTTGTTAGTAAGACCTGATTGGGGAAGGGCCCCCGTGTACAACTCCCAGGCAATAAACCTAATATCTAAGTATCTTGGTGTTTTCCTCATGGTATTTCCCTCATAAAGCTACCCCTGAGTCACCTCCCAAACCGAAGTTGTAACAATATTATGCGTATGAACTTTCCTGCGGAAGCTATTTTACGTGGGCGGTTCAAAAATAAGATGGATGTTTAAATTTCGCAACTACGTATATTCGATTAGTGATTTTTTTTTGTTGGTACATTCGTCTCGAACATATGTTTACAGTTTCAACTGTTTAGCATGTTTAGTTTGTAGGTGAAAGGCATAAAAGTTAGACGTGTTTTGCATGTTTGGCGATTTTCTGCTATCGAAAAAATATATCAAAGGATTTGCATAAAATTTTGTGTAAAAAATGAAAGTGAGAGTTCAAAAACACTTGAAATGATGACAGTGGCATACGGTGATTGTACTGAGTCAGAAAAATGTTTACAATTGGTACAAACTTTTCAGGAAAGGTCGAGAAGATGTCAATGACGACACTCGCCCTAGACGCCGCAGCACATCAACAAACGATGAAAATGTTGAGAAAGTGAAGAATCGTTGAATCACTATTAGAGAAGTTCTACAGGCATTCTGAACTTTTTGGATCCTGGAAGAAGCATACAAGGTGATGTTTCCTTCTATTTACCATTTTCAGCCACCTAAGATTGTTTAAAAATGTTGTTACATGATCTCTTCGTTTCAGCGAAAATATTATTCGGACACAGGCATTCTGAACTTTTTGGATCCTGGAAGAAGTTTTTTGATCAAGACACGGGCCATAGACAATATCACCGTAGTTGAAAATTGATAAAATAAGTGTATCACATAGTTGAATTTTCAGATGTTTAGTCAAGTAGAGTCTGTGTGGGCATATATGTTTTAGTAAACCATATGCTCTCGGAATCAAAGAGTTAATATGGCTAATGAATCTCAGATTGCAATCTAATGTCAACCCCAAATATTTGATTTTATCGCTATAATCCAATTTGTGATTATTGATAAAAATTGAGGAATTATCTATGGCCCTACTCCGGTCCCTTTTAAATTATGGCTGATGATTAATTTGGGTTGACGTTCAAACAGTGATTTCTCGATATTTTCAATAGGTCATCTATATCATTATTCAAAAAGTATTCAACGGATAAAAATTCATCAATTTTCGCGGAAAAAATCAGATTGTTGTCATCGGCATAGGTATGCATTTGAAAATTCTTTAGAAAAATCAGAAGTGTAAATTATAAATAGAAGAGGTGCAAGTATAGAGCCCTGAGGTTCTCCATGTATCACGTTCAGTTTTGATGATGAGTTATTATTGATTAGAACACGCTATTACTGAATGAAAGATTTGAAAAAAGATTGACTTTTCTCATCGAATCCGCAATAACAAAGTTTTGCACATAGTAAAGCATGGTTCATAGTATCAAATGCTTTTTTATAATCAAGTAAAACTAAAAGAGTTACTTCATTCTTATCATATGAATGTATAATACCATCGGTAATATTAGACAGAGCACTTGTGGTACCAAAATTTTGTCTAAAGCCAGACTGCGTGATGGGAAGAATACGGTTATTATTGACAAAGGTATACCAGGACCGAAAAAAGCACGCCAAGTTCGATCAAATGTGGAAGTTCTGCCCACTGTTTTCTTCGATTACCGTGGCGTTGTAGCATCAGCAGTTCTTGCCACATGGTCGTACGGTCAATAAGGAGTATTATATTGAAGTTATGCGCCGCTTGCCAGAAGCAATACGAATAAAACGTCCGGTATTGTGCCTTTTGCATCACGATAATGCATCTGCTCACTCATAATTGGTTCTTCGTGATTTTTTGGCCAATAACAACATCGTAATTAAACCTCAACCACCGTATTCACCAGATTTGCCTGTTCACAAGATTAAAGAGTCGTATTGAACAGACAGCGTATAGTGAAACACGTGTTGAAGTTTTGTATACTGTTCACAGTGAAAATCTCACAATAACGTGTTACTTGAATACCCTACAGATTTTCATTGAATGTCGGTCAATTCCATCACAAACCGTTGATAATTTTCTGCCTGGAGATTTAGGTGACTTTATATTCCATATGAAAAATCATAGTTAAATTCACCTAATACTACTATTACTACTATTACAGTATTTGACTGTATAGAGAACATTCTACTCAGAAACTCACTCTAGAAAAATACTTATGCTCATCGTTTTATGAGAACACTGTAAGAGGGATAATATCGCACTTCATGAGATGGTGGTGCTCTATCTTACCTAACAATCCTTGGTAAAGGGATCGGCATTGGGATAGAATTTGAAACGATTTATTTACTAAGATCAGTTCTGTTGAAATTGGTCCGGAAAAAAGATAATTGAACAGCAAACAACTTCAATGAACTTATAAAATATACAATTCATAGAAGCACTTGATAGTGATAACCTAATAATTTTTTGACAAAATCTCATTACAATTTTTATTCATTACTCAGCTAATTCTTACAGAAACCCACAACACTTTTTTTGCTATATAATTATAATAGCATTTTGGTTTTTTGATGTATTGAACCCGACTTATGTTTTTTAAACTATTTTGTCAAAATCTCATAACGTATTATTATCAAATACATTCAACATAAATTACAATCGAGTGTCTGCTGTTTCTATTACCTATTTTCTCCAAATTCAAAGTTGATTTCAATTTAAACTAAATCGATTACTTATTGTATTTTCATGTGTTCCTTCTAGCAGTCCATCGTCGATATACTGAACAAATAAACAAGTGAATAGTGAATAGTAAAGGACCCTAGTATTTTGTTTCAGAAAAAAAGAAAGAAATCACAGAGTCGTAGATTCAAGTATCGATGGAGCTTTGTACAAACTCTTCAGCAATTAACAAACTGTACTACATCTATTATTGAGATTTTTTCATCGAACTAGTCTTTTTGTGAATAGGTACAGTCTCGCTTCAAACTGAATTATATTAATTCCCTTCATTCAAAAAAATGTAATAATTTGAAATAGCTTTTACCAATGCAAAAAGATCAAGCATTCTAGGTTTGATCTTTCAAAGATTCAATTTTTTTCAGCTGATTATAAGGATAGATCATTATTTTCTGATTCAGCTTTCGAAAGCATAGCATAAGTATAAAAATGCCCGCTTGAATAGTTTTGATTTTTCTCAATCTTTTCATTGATGCTTGGAGTTTTCCGTCCATCGATATTAACAGAATAACCATTCGACGTCATACGATATCATTTATTAATTCGTCATTCTGTCATTCTGTTTGCCGAATGACAGTTTCAGTATCTAATCAACTTTTCAAAAGAAGATGAAGTCTCTTTTCAAAATAATTTCGGATTCGATAAGCGCTCCTACTTACAATATATCCCAATAAATATTCCTCCATACATATTCATTCAAATTTCATTTTCCCTTCCTTACGTATTCGTATGGACGAAATGTTCAATACGCATGACATTGAAATAATCCGCACATATAACTTTTTCTGTTCATAAGGTGATAGAAGATCTACAGATTTCAAAATTCATTCATAGTTTCTCCATTTTACTCTGATATATATCGTACAAAGATAACATTATGAAAATCAGCTTCAACTATTTTTTAAGTCACGGTTAATAAATTCTGGTTCACTGTCCATGTGGCTTTATTCATGCACCCCACGTCTCTGTGAATTCTTTTGAACCTATATCTTATATTGATGACCCAAGTCTTTATGCCAATATTCTAAACGAACACACCAAATAATTAAGTAAACAATAGGTCCTGCCTCTGTTTCATTAGTGGACTCTACTACACATCTCTTGACTGGATTCATTAACCAATTATTTGTCTTAGTTGGAAGCTCAAACTGTACACCTACGTAATTATTATATTGCTAGTTACTGTTTGCTGTGATCCTTTGATGCAAAATGCAAATAATACTTTCAAAACATACTTCCACAGCTTCACACGTGCGTAGTTGAACCTTCAACTGAAGCTTCCAATTAATGAGATATGTTTGCTTAAAAGTGGTTGAAAAAACATCAACTATTTTTCGGAAAAGGAGAGATCTTTGCTAACACCTCACCATAGTAAGCCCCTTCACCTGTATGGACTACCCAAAATACACAAGAAGGGTATTCCGCTCAGACCGATCATTGGTTCCAGAAATTCAGCTACTCAAAACAAATTTTTGCTTTCAATATTACCACCACTACAAGGAAAAACTTCATTTATTGTGGAGAATTCAAGGCATTCTGTCAAATTACTAGAGTCAATCGAAGTCACGGAGAAAGATCAGTTAATCGTTTCGACGTGAGAAGCCTTTACACCAACGTTTCTGTCGAAGAAGCACTTCAAATCATACAGAAGAAGCTATCCGAAGACGAGGACCTGGAAGATAGAGCAGACTTACCTATAGAAGTATTCATGGACGTACTATGATGCTGTGTACGGAACTGCTATTTCCAACTGAAGGATAAATTCTTTAAGCAAAATGAGGAACTGTCAATGGGATTGCCACCAGTAATGGGATCACCAGTAATCGCTTACATATACGTGGAGTGTTTTGAAACTCACAAGAAGCTCGTGTCTGGTTGAGATACGTTGATGACACTTTCAAAGTATGGAACTATGTAAACACAAAAATAGAGACCTTTCTGATGCACATCATCAGCGTAACACCTTCCATCACCTTCACAATGGAGAAGGTAATCCACAACGAACTGCCATTCTCAGATGTATTGGTGAAGAGGACCAACACTAAGTGGAAATCATCTATATACCGAAAACCCATTAACACGGGACAGTATCTGAATCACGAATCCAGCCACCATCAATCTATTAAAAGAGGACTCATCAAGACTCTAGTGGATTGTGCTTTCGATCTCTGTAATACAAAGGAAGGTCTTCAAAAGGAAATCTGTCTGTCTGTCTGTTCTGCATCATCAAAAATGACCTTCAACGGTTACTGCAAAGTGATGGTGGAATAGACTTTGGCTAGAAGACAGTAAGAGCCTCACAAGGAAGAGAAGCCGTCACAAGCAATGCTTGCCCTTCCTTACGTCAGAGGAGGATAAGGAAGGATAGAAAAACTGGCGAATACTTGATAAAAATTCATATTTAAACTCATTAATACAGTTCACAATAGCGTTAATAATTACAGCGAGGAGTAACTAGCAAATCGGGAATAACAGAGCAAGTTTAAATTCATCAACATAACATCAAGTGGAGTTCATTAGTTTGGACTTCCATTGTCTAATATGATATGATTTGAAATTTCTGAAAGTATAAAATTGAAAATTGAAATGAATAGCTAAAAATAACAATTATATCAAGCAAAAAAACCTATAATAATTATATCAAGCAAAAATACCTGAAATGATATTACAATAGAATAAAAATTGGTCAAGGAATTGAAAATCAAAAAATTGAAAAAAGAACTGAAAATTAAAAGATTTGAATACAAAGTACTTCATTACTGAAGTCCGAACTAATGAAATTCACCATGAAACATTGTCAACCACCTTCAAACAAACGTTATAACAAGCTGAGATTATCCATAGAGGAAAACACTGGTTTAAGGGGAAGTTTAAAGAAACTGCATGAATGTTATCCAACCATGCTTTCAACCAAGCTAGCGTAGAGATACACAATATATAGAAACCTTTAATCAAGCGGAAAAACGGTTAACTCCCACCAAACCGGTGAAGCAAGGATAGGGAAGAGGAGGTATATGAAAGCGTTCGAATGACCATAAATAGTCATCTCTCGGAGAAATAGTCCAGTCATCACTTGAAGACAATTGTGGATACTAACAATTGAAACGTCGTGAAATAACATGGTTTGATATATTTTTATTTCGTTTTTAATAGTTCTATTTTTATTTTTTGCTCATTTTCATTTTATTGTATTCATTGCTCAATATAATTCTTACTATTAGCTATTCATTTTGATTTTCTTTTTTCTTTCAGATATTTCGAATCATATTAGGTTTGTTCTAGCAAGAAATTTCGGATGGTTTGAAGCTAGTGTTATGGACTGGCCAACTGCGCATGTATGCCGTGAGACTGGTTGCAAATAGTTTGGGATTCATGTCCTGCTAGAACGCTTATTTGTGTTGATAAATGTCAATTGTCAAATTGTCATTTAAACTGACTTATTAGTTGGAAATTTGAAATTTATATTTTGTGCAGCGAAAAGTGAAGGTGAAAACCGATAAAAATGAACATATTGAATTGGCTTGAATAGTCATCGGCTTGGTCAAAATGGAAAAATTCAAAATAGAAGAAATGTTAAAATTGGAAAAAGAAAAGTTATAAATAAGAAAGAAGAGAAATGAATTATTAGAAACAAGAAATAACTTGCTCAGACAAATGAGCAAAAATAAAAATTCATATGTTGATAAATATTCTGAATTCAATGTTAGTATGAGGGATTTAGTTTGATATCTTATGTCATACATGGGGTTCCTGTTATGTGATATTATATAGGAAGAAGTTATTAGTTTATGTATTAGGACGAGTATTTACCGACCTGATTAACAGCCCGTTAAAATAATCAGTGCTGGGGCTGTGCTGTCTCTCTAGCAAATGACAGGATGTGGTGTCATTCTCAGCACCGATTATTTTAATTGACTCTTAATCCGGTCGTAAAGTACCCACCCTTGAGCAAATTATATTTTTATACTGTTTTAAAAATCATTCTTATTTTACCTGAATGGATGTTTATTTAACTTATGCCAAACAATGAAATGAACATCAACAAACAGAAATATTACAATTTTATTGCTATCTTAAAACTTGTCAAGCTACAAAATTTCTGTGGTCTGCAGCATCTCTATTGATGTGATTATCTTCATCCTCTTCCTCATGGTGATGAAACAGCATTTCGATAAGTTCCTCATCATTGGATGATTCAGAATTATTTCCCCAATTTGATTCAGAGCTTGATGACTCTGATGACATTTCGGCTAATCCTACCTGTAATAATGGAGTTGAATAGTTGATGCTTACTTGAAAATCACCAAATGCTTGCTTGATTTTCATTCAAAAACATAAAATCATTTTACTCACCTGAATTTCCAAACGAAAATATGAAAAAATTGACAGTTTTGAGGATTGCCGTTCTATAAAAAACAAGATTTTTAAACCAATTATCAGGCCACTAAATATTTCTATTTTGGTTTCTCATTTCTTTAGTACATAACATAACCAACAAATCCATATTCCAAAATCATAACAAACGTGATATCGGATCACTCGATCACTCCGAATAATTGCGCATGTCACAAACTGAAAATCCTTACGAATTCCTCTGGACTACTTCGACAGTTCTCATACGGTTTGCAAACTGGATTTCGTCTTCGCTAGAACATGCGACTATTAGTTCGAATCCTGGATTTGCTTTGCTAGAACGCCTATATTCGTATGCGCATGCTTCGTACGATTCCGTATCGTTTGAAATCGCTGCTAGAACAAACCTATTATATCATATTAGTCAATGAAAGTCCGAACTTGTAAAATTGATCAGATCGGATCAAATTTATAATAATTTCACAATCATAACTATTGACATTCTAAATGAAATTATAGTCGAATTTGCCTTAACTTGGTGAAATTTACAAATATCAGAAAATTCGTCCGGGGTCCGAACTCAACCTCAATCAGACATTTTTCTCGCGATAAGTTATCTAGTAGAAAGTATGTTAATGAATTCTGGGTGGTATGAGGGGTTATCTACATTACCTACCTAGATTACTACCATAGTAGGAAACATTGTCAACCATTTTCAAACAAATATAAAAGATTGTTTCCTTGAAAGGGCTACGCAAATATGAAGATACCTACTCGCCTGCCTGCCTCATTGTTGTGGAGATTCATGAGCCCCAGAGCCGTGCTGCGATCTTCCCGTATGTCCAGGAACTGACTGCTGAACATTTCGCCATATTTGATGTCATCTGAACAGCCACCCCATTTGAATTTTTGAGATTTTCTTTTATTTATTTTGTTATCACAGGAACAATATTCAGCCAGATCGCCTTTAGAACAAGCTCTTGTCACTGCGTATGCCACGCTGGCCGCTGAGATTGCTGAGAGATATGCTGCCTCTCTACTCCCTGAAAAGAAAAAAAATTAAAAGTCTGAGAAAATGTGACTCATTTCCGAATGAATTATTTTTTGGATAAACTCAAAAAACGTAATATAGCTATATGTAAGGTGTTCAGGAGATGATTCTAAGGATCATTCTAAGAATAATTTTTTTTGAATTCGTATTATAGACGGCGCTGTTTACGATATAACAAGTCGTTTTAGTAAGAATAGGCCTCCTGTGATGAAGGGCAGTTAAGTCCGACAATATATACGTAGTTCAGCCTAGCACCACTGATAAGAACTATGGCGGGTCGAAACAGCGCTATCTGGTGTTAGATCACGAATGATTTCAATGGCATTACACTCTTAAAGTATTTTTGATTTTATTATACGTCTTGTATATTTCTGAAGCTATCAAGTTCCAACTTGAAACACAATATTCTGTTATCAATGTTCATGAAACGGTTATACAGGAAAGTACTGAATTTTCTACAGGGCTACTGTCCATTGAGAGGGCACCTGAAAAAAAATAAGGCTGTATGTGGAATAAAACATCGTTCAAATGTCACGGCTTCTCTGGGTGGAGCACATCCGAAACTCTGGCTCATAAATCAGGTTGAATTTGAGCGATGGCATGGGTTATGTTGGCTTTGAGGATCGCTGTGGTTTGTGGCTCATTCGCATATACCTGCGATTTACCAAAACCCCCTAATAAAATGTCTAACGGGTCAAATCGCACGATGTCAGTGGCCAGTTCACATCACCTCCACGTGATATGACCATGCCTTCAAATCTCTCGTACAGAATATCCAATGTGGCATGAGTTGTGTGGCACGTAGCGCCGTTCTGTAGAAACCACATGTCGTTCGTGTACATATCATCCAGTTTAGACCAAAAGAAGCTGATATTATCGACCTATAGTGATAGTGGCCGTTGACAGTGATGGCTTGGCCAACGTCGTTCTTGAAAAATATGGACCAATGACGCCGCCAGCCCAAAATCCTCATCAAAAAGTGACTTTTTCGAAATGTATTGGACGTTCTTGGATATCATGTGGATAGGTATCGGCCCAAGTTCGATAATTTTGTTTGTTCACGTACCCATTCATCCATTAATGGGCCTCACCGCTAAAGATGATTTGTCGATGAAAATTAGAGACAGTTACCAACTGCACCAGAGCCCATTCAGCCAACACACGTTGTTGTCTATGGTCATTTATCTTCAGTTTCTGGGTCAGTTGAATTTTGAACGGGTGCAGGCCCAAGTTACGACGCAAAATTCGCAAAATTGTGGTCTGCGAAAGGCTGAGCTCTTATGAGCGACGAGAAATCGACTGCCTCGGATTCTCCTGCACACTCTTACAGACAGCGGCAGTGTTTTCGGCAGATCTTGCGTTTCGTGGACGTACGGGTGTTGGTCGATTATTAACTGGACCAGTGGAAGGCTATATCCGTCCATGGTGAATTGGTAAAGAAACTGAGTAAATGACAACAGATTCCACAGAAATATCTTTAAAAGATGAAGAAATAGGAATACTTGAGAGTTTACTTGAGAAAGATATAATTTTATATTTCATGTTGTATTATTATATTTGTATTATGTTATTTGATATTTGTATTTAGCTAGATAGTTAAGTTAACTCACTATTATTATTATTGAATAATCAAAAGATAACTGAACTTTCACACCGCCTACATATATCTAGTGAAAACACCTCTCTGAACTACTTCTTTAAAGGTGTTTTGGAGCAAAGGAACTGCGAGAAATTTTTTCAGCTATTATTCTTCAAATTACATGCCAATTTCATGAAATGAGAATGAACCTACTGAAAAAAAAACGCACTTACTGTACGAGACAACGTTCCCGAAAGTGTTGTTTTTTTCTTGAAATGTAGTGCAGTTCCACCTGCTGAACGAAAACTGGTTTTGGCATTCCTCAATAGCAAGTCGAGCACCCATTCCCAAAATCTGAAAATAAAATTATTAACACTTTTGAAATGAAGTCTACATTTTTAATTCATTTCGGAATGATGTTGAACAAATTATCAACAGTGATTCCAGCATAATGATAACATCATTTAAATACGAAACTCGGCAATCAAAATTAAATACGAAACTCGGCAATGGGTACACCCATAATGGGGAATGTTCCTCCTGACGAAAATCAAGTAGTTTTCATAAAAGAGCTCTAAAACAACGCATCTTAAACTTATCATTTCAATCTTTTTCTTTAAAAAATTATTGAAATAATTGAAAAAGAGGAATGAAATAATTAATTCAACATTTAAAGGGATTCGTTTCTATTTCACCATTTGGCAACATCGGTTATAGCTAATAAAGGACAATGAATCTGTTACCTGTATGAGACAAACAAAGATGACATATTTCAGAGGCGTGCCGTTCTGTTTACTTATGTTCCGAGTTCTGAGACATTCTGTTACATATGACATTTTGTGCACCTAACCTATATTCCTCTATATAAATAAATAACAAAACAACTGTTGTTTATGTGGCTTGTGGAGGTGGTATTGAACTATAATTTATATTTTGCCTTAATTGTTGATTTATAAAGATAATTTTCCTCTTTTAAAGTAGAATATCTAGGTACGTCCAAATTATTTCAACTTGATATAGGCGCTGTTGTCAATATGTGAATTAGAAACAAATTCCTATAAAAATTAAAACCCAACATTTGAAACATCAATTTGAATACTTTTCGAAGTGAATTCGAAAAACTCTTGAATTGAACTCAACTTTATTTTGTTCAAACTTGCATTTGCTGTAATAACTTAAATTGAGGAACATTCCCCATTGCTCGTTTACATTTTGGGTAGCATTTCCCATCTTGTGGTTAGGTTTATTGTGATGGGTAATAAGTAAATGAAGTATTGACGTCCAATTGAAAAAGTCATTCATCAATTAATCTTGTCAATGTAAAAATTGAGAATCTGACAACTGATTACTAATATCTGGGAGTGATGACCAAAAGATGTTTGAATGTGAATTAATTTCGTTTATGTAGGGACTTGGTTACAATGGAGTATTTTCTATAATATATACAGGGTATCTATTGAACATGCGGCAAAAATGCAAGGGACTATTCCTTGGACTGTTCTAAGGATATTGTGTTCTTTGATGATTTTTGATAGGGCGCTTTGTTTTGAAGATACGGAACGAAAAAGAATTTCGACAATAACAATTTATTATCAAAAATTACATGTACTGTTTCTTAGTCAACAAGAACTGTTGAAAATTATTACTCCCAACTCGGATGCAAGAATCCAATCTTCTCCTCATCGACTCCCGAACTCTTTAAAAAACACCAGGATCGTTTCTGATTGCATTACACCCAGCAATTAGGTATCTGATTTCTCAAATCTTCCACATCTTCTACTGGAGTAGTATAATATAATGACTTGTTAGATTTTTCATTAATTGGTAGTTCCAGTAAAGTACGCTATACTTTTATTTCGGCTACGTTAATAATTTTAAAATTACCAAAATTGTTATTGTCGAAATTCTTTTTCGCCCCGTAACTTTGAAACAAAGCGCCCTATCAAAAATCATCAAAGAACAAAATATCCTTAAAATAGTCCAAGGAATAGTCACTTGATTTTTTGCTAATAACTACCCTGTATAATTTTTTCGAAGCGAGATCGTCTGCGACAATGAATATTTCGAGTGTAGGGTTGATTATATGTCGAAATGAGCCATATTCTAATACAAAACAGTAAACATATATGAACCTGATACTAACTTTCAACATATCAGAAATTTTGCATATACCGTGTTTCAACAAATCATAACCTCATAATACTTCCTTGATGTATTTTGATTTTTACATTGTGGATCATCAGATGTATGTTAATTGAAAGTCACATTTTGCCAATCAAGTACCACTTTTCTTCACTTCATCTTTCGATCTAAAGAGCAGGGATTATTTCAGAAAATTTCAGTGACTACAAAAATTCAAGCTACACGAAAAATGACATCTAGGATACATCTGGGGCAGCTAAGGACAATTTGAATTTAATATCTTAATGTTTTCAAATTTTTCCATTGTGCAGTTTCTGGACAGCGTCTTCGGTGTAAATGAAGCCATCATGACTCGTATATGCATTATGGTACTTAAAAACTTTGTGATTAGGTGAACATTTCAGATGATAATATATTATGATAATATATTATGGTTCGCAAAAGAAAGCATGCTGATATTTGTGATAAATTTCATTATCCAAAATGGTTGGAGGTTAAATGACAATGTTAGTGTGAACGTATATAAGGTTTGTTCTGGTTCTACGAAATTCAAGTTCTAGGACGTCAGGATCATGCGCAGTTGATATAGAGCGTTCTGGTTTATTGAGGATAATTTCAGATGGATGGATCCTCTGATCGACTGCGAAATGATACTAAACTGTCTTGAACCGTCACGAATCGTTTTTGCACTCGAGACTGAACTGTTGAGAACTGTTCCCGTTGCTCATGCGCCATCATGTGGACATTTGTTTGGGTTTGATGATCGAGGTTAGATAACATTTGAACTGACTACAAGGATACGCTACATAACAAAATGATCAACAGTATTTTGTCGTCTTCATCTCTTCATATATACAATAGGTGGCACAGTGGTCTCCTCAAAATGCGTTTTGGTTCAACCAAGTGTCCAAAACTATTTCGGACTGCTTGAGATTTTTTGCTTGCATGCATCATATCCTGCGCAGTTTACAAACAGTTTCGGATGTTAGAACCAGAACAAACCTATAGAATGCATTATAAAATGAGGGCTTAATTTTTTGGGCGCGAGCATCTGGTGGGGTAGAAATGGCCAATTGCATAAGGGGGCAGTGTAGTAAACTGCCCCAATCAGAACTATTATTGAACGAACTTTTTAAAACGCACTAGGAAAACCCGTCACAGTAAATTATCAGCCGGAAGTAAGTATGAACCATTTCAGGAAAATACAGTGCGGACGAAACTATATAGTCCCCTCCTCTTAACTTTTGAATGAGCGGGCATCATTTCGGTCTTTCCCTCTCTCCGAATTTTTAGAGAAGTGAATACCTAATCCCCATTTTAACTTTTGAATGGGACAAGACATCACGTGCAAATGAAATTTACTTGAAAAGGCATCATGTTGAGTTCTTTTTGGAGAGAAAGGCAATCACTCATCATTACATTACAAAGGTACCTAGTGCATTTTTTTTTCGAATAGACAGGAGGATTATGTGGTACCTCGTTTTTACAGGTGTTCAAATTCAGGTTCTTTTGTATTTTGGATCAGTCGTTCCTAAGTAATTAGCAGTTCTATATTCGTTACAAGAATATGCACACAAACAATAAATAATAAAATTTGAAGAAGAAGCGTATTCAAAAGTTACTCCAGCTTATTACTTTCCCTCAAAAACATCTAGAGGCATCAATTATATCAGGTCAACTAGTGGGTCATTCTAGGGGACCACTTTTGCTTCTACACTGGTTGTTTAATTGTCAGTTAGTCACTATCAAAACAGACTATTTTAATGAGGAGTTACCTCATCTTTCTGAAACGGAACATCAGTTGAAAAAGAATTTGGGTATGCCAATTATCCAAACCACTAGATAAGTGAACATGGTCCATTAGAATTGCCCACTAGATCACCTGATATGACGTCTCCAAATGTGTCATCAAAGTGTACAATAAACAGTTCATTTTAGTATTAAAAGAATAATTCACTCACAGGTAAAATTTTTGAATACTTTGAACATATCTCCTTTTGCGGTTCTGCGAAATAATCCAGTTTCATACAATGCTCCTTGTGTTCTGCTGGGGTTAACTCCACAGTTTCGGACATAATATGTGGCAATCCTAATTGCCTGAAAAAAAGAGAAATAGTGTAGAAAACATCTTGAAAAAATAAAAAATATTTCATAAACCCGCCGGTAGATTGAATCATACGACTTATTTTCAGTAGATATCAAGCAGGAACTTATAATTTTTATGTGGAGAGATTATTTATTTGAAAATAGACAAAAATGTGGGAAATATCTATGAAAAATCCTAAAAATGTTGTGGATCATCAATATACACCACTTTCAGATGATAGAATAATATCGATAATAATGAATTTTAATGACAGGCTAAGCATATAGAATAATACATGACAGAAATATGGACCTATCAAGTGGCAGTATTCGATTTTTGTAACAGACATGTAATAGACATCCAAACAATGAATATAAATGCACATACAAATACTTATAACATATATCGTACTCTATACTATATAAATCATAAAACGACGATAAAATACAATTGATTGCACTTCTACACCATTCACACACAAAAAATCTGAAACTAATTGCGAATCCTGACCGACACCACATTTTATATATCTAGTGACGACATATCTGGCTAAACTACTTCTTGAGCTTCGGATTTATTCAAAGGAATTTTCATTTCGTCAATATTTTTCAAATTATGTGCCAATTAAAAGGTATAAATGCCTCTATTGTACTCGAAATCATTTCTAGATCATTTCCTTTTTCATATTCTATATAATCATCCAACCCCCAAAATGAAAGTATAGAAGAAATAGAAACAAATTATGTCCATTGTCATTGACATTATATATGTCTGCAGACTGTGTCCCAGGTGGATGATCGAGCTAAAGTTCTCCCCAAGCGACAACCTCATATATATTTCCTAGTCCTTCTCACAAAATAACCATTACCTTTCAATTGAACATGTATATGTCGAACAAGTAATGTTGTTTCATGGAAACAAATAATTTGTTAATAAAATATACCATTCACGACATACCGAATCAAGTTTTTCCTGAGATGATTATGTTGTTTAATTTATTTCGGTTGAAATTCATGCAGTATCATCTGATTAATATTGCCTTGAACTGAAATTCGATTCAATTTTTCCTTCGTTGAATCGTGGCAACATGTGAATTAAAGATGAAACACTTAATGTACATTCCATAACTAAAAAAAGCATAAAACATTTTCTTTTGATATGATTCACTTTTGTGAGATGTGTTATAGACAATGGAAGCTGATTGATAGAGGTATGGATTCTCTTAATAAGTAACCTAACCTGTGGTTGACGAACCTTTCATATTTGTCTGTTCTTATAAGTTCAAACACTAACACCCTAATATAACGGATTTGATTGACATGTTCGACATATAGTGAAAATTTAAATATGGAACAACTTCTAGGAGGTCGTAAACTGGTGCTTTTTCTGTTTCAAATTGTTATGATATGTTGAGTAATAAAAATGGCAGTTCAGATCTGGTGTAGACGATATAGCGGAATTTTGTGCAACCGAGAAAAGAAAAGAAAAGAACACACGGATTCAAAATGATGGTAAAATGCAATCATCCGCAGAAAACTGCAGGCACATCAGGAAGGATGGTTATAATCTGTTTATAGTAAAAAGTTATCATTGTACATACGAAACGTGTAGTGTTCAAAAAAATTTGTGATTTCTTTATAATTCTCCACAACTGGTATAGGCTAGTTCACAATACTTTACCGGGTACACCCTTTTTATGTATTGCAAACGAGTCGTAAATAAATGATTTTATGAGCGTTCAGGTCGTTTTATTACCTGTAGTGGCGTGCATTTGGGTATTCAATAAAAATACTACTTATAACTAATAACTATGTTTATTTTTTATATACAATTGATATTGTTATATCAAAATCTGAAGATAATAATTAATATGCTCATTCAGAAAGATATTAGGTATAAGCAAAAAGTTTAACAATTTTCCTAACTGAATGATTTATATGTTGATCTCTTCTCTCAATCTTTTACCTGAGCCCAAACGAGTCTCGATGGCTATATCTATCGACGCAGTTCCCGAAGTCACCTTGTATAACGGCGACTTCGCCACATTTTAAACTCAGTTTAGTGATATGTACAATGTACACAACAAGCAAGTGGGATTGAAAATAATGATAGTTGAGTCAAAGTATTATCCAATGAATTGTTTTGAATTGTATTATTGGGATACTGATTGATAAAAAATAATCGTAGAGCATTATCCTGTGGCTAACGGAATTGCAGCGGATTGATTGTTTTAATGAATATTGTATAGTGGAGAATCTCTCCTGAAAAGTAACGCCATTACTTTTTTCCCAAATATCCTAGGAACTATAAATAATATAGTTCCTGGGATGTTCAATGACAAATTTTCTAGAAAACTTGGAATGGCGTAATTTATACCTCGCAATTTCCACACTACTTCTGTAGCCAATAGTTGCCGAAAAATTGACGAAAACTTGAAATCTGTACTCAGTCAGTTATTGTTGGAATTTCTATATCTGATACTAGGCCAGTAACTTATGGAGTTCCACAAGGTTGAATTCTCTGATCCTTACCGTTTTCAGTGTATATAGCAGATTTTTACCAAAGTGTGAGAAATCGTACAATCCACCAATATATTGACAACACGCAAATGTATACATCTTTTTTGCCGAAAATATTACACGGGCCGTCAGTAACGCCAAAAAAGATCTTCAATCTTTCTTTAACATCTCTGAAGCAGATAACCTCAAACTTAATCCTTCAAAATCAGGTACAATGATTTTTGGTCCGAAGTCAAGGCGTGAACTTGTGATGCACTGTTTGGGACCTTTGGTGTAGTAATGGATATTACTGGAGTTCAATCCCAACATCAAACCGTTATTTTAATACCTCGACACGTGTTTGGATCACCAAGCGATCATCTTCAAGAGGAAGATTAAAGTAAATTACAAACAATATTGTTCCTTATTGATACCATTAATACCTCTGCTACGTACCTGCAGGACAAACGAAAACCAAGAAAAATACATCTCAGTTCCATTCCACCAATGTACGAAGAACTTTGGAAAGATTTTCAAGGAACTAGGTATGAAGGTGGTACTTAAAATAAGTCATACACTACAGAGCCTTCTAGGAGATCCAAAGGACAAAGTCGAGAATTCGGAAAAGTCTGGAATTAACGAAATTGAATGTAAGGACTGCGATGCAAAATATTATGGACAGACTCAAAGTTCTATTAAAATAAGATATAAGGAACACTTAGCACACCTAAAATATGGAAGATCAGAAAAATCAGCAGTCGCCCATCATATTTTGTAACAAAACCATTCCATAGACTTCAGTTTATCAAGATTACTTAGACAAATTAACAACAACAGGCATCTAGATGCCTATGAAAGTGAAAGTGAAAGTAAAAATAATAATACCTACTATGAAGAACGATGATGGATCAATACCTAATAGTTTGTTGAAATAATATTTTATTATCAGATTCACCTGACTGTTGGATAAGGCAACATGTTACATTAATTTGCGACGATTGAGATGTAGGTACCTAGTAGAAGTATCTATGGTATAAATGAGGACAGTATTGTATATAATTTAGTTGATCACTTGGTGATTAAAACACGTGTCGAGGTGTTGAAAATAACGGTTTGGTGTTGGGATAAAACTCTAGTAATATTCATTTAACTGAAACTGCTCGAAGTCGTTGAAGTCTCTGAAAGTTAGGGATTATGGATCACCGAACATATGGTTCATCAAACATATTAGTCACTTCCGTCAAACCTCACATAACTAAGACAGCTTTATCCCAATCGAAATATCCTTCCCACTGAAATTAAGTTGGAAGTATGTGAGACCCTGGTGATATCCAGAAAATCATATTGCGATACTGTATATTGCTCTGTACTATTTTAATCTGATTCTATTAGGTTGCAACGAATTCAAAATGTTTGTATTTGATTTGCATATGGAATAAGAAAATTGGATCACATTAGTGGCAAGTTTGCAGATTCTGAATGACTCAACTTCGAAAAAATGCGTGAACTTCATCTCCTCACTCTCATTCGCCAAGTTTTGATTACTGGTCATTCCACATATCTACTGAAAAGGCTAATGGCAATGCGTAGCCTGAATCAAGTGAATACCAGGAAATGCAATCTGCTACTTGTATCTAAACTCTGCTCTATTCACACGGAGTTTCTCTTATGTCTCTTCAAAAGAATATAACTCCTTTCCTAATGAATTCTGGTATTACTCTCTGCATATCTTAGATAAAAAGGACAAGACGAAATTGCAAGTCTTACACGTATCACGAGATCTATTAAGTAAAGTAGGTATTTTGCATGCATCCACTACTTTTTTAAAAGTAATGCTATATATGGAAACCACTTATCTATGCAATAAAATAAAAATTTTTTATCTAATATTCGAAAAATAAATCTGAGATTCAAGAAATTGCTCACTCTCTCACAGCACAAAATTTCTCATTATCGTTTATAAATTTTTCTATATACAACTTGGCTTTATGAGCAGGTACCCAATGATTTCAAAATTATAAACGATTTTATGTTCACGAAAAAATTTAATACTGTTGCTGAATTCCCTAGTGTTATGGGTTTCAAATGCTGATCATTAATTTGAATTTTTTTTACTTTCTGTTTGTAAGAGACGATAACTCTACATGTCTATTCTATATTTTAAGGAACCAGTCTCTGTAACTTTTTTTTGCCAAAGGCAAGTTTTGGATCTTGTTAATTTAGGAAACTATTTCCTTTCTATTACAAAATTTTCATTCAAGACGGAACTAAATTAACTTTACATTATTTCTCAAACTGAACGAAAAGAAGAAATGACGGGGTACATGAAAACGTTACTCGTTTGTTAAGATTGTTGAAGTAGAACCATACATTTCTGGAATATAATTAAAACTCCAGTCAAGCAGCTAATTATACAAAAAACTCCGCCATTTCAATAAAGCTTTCCCATCATGATTAGTTGTTGTATGCAATTATTAGGGTGAATGCAAATTCTCCTGATGGTTTCATTGTTA